ATCGGAGAAGAGAAGAAAAAGAAGAGAAGAGAGCCGGAGGTGCACAAAGAGCTTTAGATCCATGAGATAAGCAGAGAGAAGAGAGAAGAATAAGAAGATTGAACAACGTTTCTAGAAAACATCAATTATAATTTATTGTTTCAATTGCATCATTGGAGAAGAATGATCAACTATAAGCAAAATTGATACCTAACATTTCTTAGCTATAGATCGATATGTGTTAACACTTTCTTAGCTATAGATATGTGGCATGTTCATGTTGTTGCTTCCTCTACAAGTTATTTTCCAATTCCATATATAACATTAGGGTCTTTGGGTTCAAAGGTTGCAATATGTGGATTAAGCACATATATTGGATTAAGCAGGTTGTGGCTATGGCGGCTCATAAGGAAGAGAAGTTCATGCTCTGCATTGGTGTCTCAATTTTCTTATCTTGAGCATCTCTTTGCCCTCTTGATTTTCGTATCATAAGCAACTTATTGTTTTTACGTATCTTATTATATTTTGTTTTAGAACACAATATTCTATATGTTTGTCTACAACAAAAATTTGATTGTTTTCTTTACTTAGCTACATAGTATTAATTATATATATATATATTTGATAATTGCTTAAAAACTGAATATATATCTTGATTTTTTAAAAATAATATATTTGTTTCCGTTTATATATATATGATAATAAAGTACTCTTATTTCTCTTTGATTAGAGTTTGCTAAATTTCGTGTGTTTATTTATGCGTTTGTCTTCTAAATCTCTATAATTTGGGATATTGAAAAATTCTAAATAATGTTTTTTTTTGAACAAAATTGGTTTTCTTTTAGTTTTCTGATCCTCCCAACAAAACCATTAATGACAATTTTTTTGCATTAAATATTGACTATTTTATTAAGAAGATAAGGACAAGTGTGGATGTTTAATAAGTTTCGGTATATTATACAATATATTTTTGTGTTAATCCGGTTAAAATTAACCTACTTGAATATATTATTTAAATTTTTACAATTTATTTTATCATTTTTGGATA